TATATATATTTATTTATTTATTTATTACATTTGACAAGTTAAATCACCTACCACCTTTTTATGTCTCAAGATCTTTGCACAAATGCTTGGCAGCAGTTTGCAGCAGAAGGAGTAAGGCTCCTCCTGCTGCAGCAACAAAACTGAACCCCACGGCTGGCACAGATGGGATCTCTGGCAGGGAATTTATTGGAGCTCAGAAGCAGTGTGTGATTTCTCCTGCTAGCACACACTCATAACTTAAATATCTGTTTTTGGTGGACTAACCCTTTAAGAAACATCTTGCAGTAAAATATGGCTCTAGACAGGTACACATATTCTCCAGTTGGGTGTAAAATCTAATAGTTGAGGTTTTCCGGAAAAAAAAAAAAATAGCAAGTACAATACAGAAATGAGTATGAAAAGCCGCCAACTAAAACTATTTTTAACACTTTTCTGGACAGATTTACTACCAACTTTTTAACATCTTTTTTTTTACTGCTAAAAGCTTTCATATGAAAAGACTTCTATTAGCAGCGAGGCAATTCGCTTAGTATATAAAGGATGTTGGTGGAAGCTCAATGACTTTGCAAAGTGAATTTTCTAAGGCAACGTTCACATAGCCGAGTGAATGAGGTGAACTTGTGTTGACTTCAATCATCCAATCATGCAAAAATCCTGCTTATTTTCATCTTTATTGCACATGGTTGAATATCCTTTGCAAAGTGAATTTTCACATTGTTTCTCCGCATGCACTAAGAGACTTTGCTAAGTGAGAACTCATTTTAAAAATGAACATGTGTATTCCAGCCTTTCCCAACCATGGTCCGCTGGAATACCAGGGCTCCTCTAGGAGGTTGATAGGAGTTCCTTGAGCAATGAGCAATTTCTGCCTCTCAGATAAGTTCCCACTGACACTAATGATGTTTTTAAATTTCTGTAAGGAGGACTTTGTTTCCACTGACCACCAAAGTAATGAGCGTTCTTCCCACTGACCACCAAAGTAAGGAGTATTCTTTTCACTGACCAACAGATTTAGGATTCACACTGACCACCAAATTATGAAACAGTATTCCAACTGATCACTGTGCCAGTATACTGTGAGTTATAGATATAGTAATCATTCTCAGGGGTTCCTCAATCCCCAAAAGGGTCCCTCCATGTTAAAAAGGATCCCTCTATGTTTAAAAGGTTGACTTAGTGAGTTAAGTTGAGTTGATTTAGTTAGTAGATCAACCCCACCATATCTAGTGCACAGGAACAATTTTTAGACAAATGTTGCACATCTGTGGTTATTTGACATTCAAAAATGTTTATTTTTCTATGTTTAAAAAAGGACTTTTTGCAATCACTTCGCCTTGGCCAATTCTACATCCCATCTATGACTAAAATCTATGTCTAAAATGCGACATGTTAATGGCTAAGATGTAATCATTTTTCTGCATTTTTACGCCAGTAAAAGGACACAGTGCTTTCCCCGGGAGATCACCTTTGCACAAGCAGCATCCATTCAGCGGTCACTCTCAGTTCAGAGACACCATGGGGTGCGCAAATAATGGTCGGAATCCTCTCAGTGCATGGCCTGATAAATAGGATTTGAATCAAAGCTTTCCGTACACCCTGCCCCCCACTGCACTCCACACCGATGGGTTCCTAAAAGTAGGATCATTATCACATGAGCATAGACACTGCTACTCTTCAGTGATAAGGAAGAACTTGTTTAAAAGCCTAGCTAGTCACTTTAAAAATTAATGTAGTGTGGTTCTCAACTATTAAAAATATGTATTACTTGAGTAAACTTAAGGTTAGTGAGTTGGAATGAATGAAATATGCAGTTGGAAATCATGTTTATATATAAATTATATATTTTAAATGTTATATGTTCCAAAAAATATCAGAATTCACAGAGAGCACCTTCTGCACACCAGACGTGGTTCTTGCCACCTATTTCAGCTTCTACGGCTGTTAACGTTTATATATTCATATAATTTATATTTCTCTTTCATGTACAATATTAAACATCCATTCAAAGATCTGTATATTTCTGTGTCATAAAACAAGTTGCAACTGGGTTGACTTATAAAGCAATTTCATGAACAGGTAGCATTAGATGATAATGAAAGGGACAGAGTCTCAGCAGTCAAGTGTCCCTGGATGAGAACATTGGTATAACAATGGCTAAGGGTCATACACATATACAATGCATAGTGATGTTATGTTATAACCCAATTTAATGAATAGGTCACAGATGGACAATGGTCAAAGAAAAGGAGAGATTCAGCAGCAAAGTGTCCCTGCATAAAAAAAAAAGATAACTTTGCAATATATAACAATGGAATCTATATCTATATATAGATATATATAGATATAGATAGATATATAGATATATATATATATACACACAAAATGCATAGCAATGCTATGCTATAATCCAGCTGAAAAGATTGAGGATGAACAACTATGAAAGGGACAGATTTGTCTGCAAACTGTCCCTGGAAAAAGTTAAGAAATTGGTAACTATGTCCTTTAAAGCATCGTCTAAGAAGCACAGACATACAATGCATATCAATCTTAAAGATGCCATTTAAGTTCACAGAGTGGGATAAGGCAGAAAGATGAAGAATCAGGATCTAACTCACCGACTTGGGCAGTCCACATTGACCAGTGTACATGGGCAGCCTCCTGCACTGCATCTCTTGCAGCATCAGGGTGCCCAGTACAAAGCACAGGAGTCCAGTCCTGGTCCACATGGTTCCCCCAGTAAAGTGACAAGCTCAGAGCCCTTCTGTCCACATCTAACAAGTGCAGCCAACTTTTCTCACACAGCCTGCAAGGCTGGCCCCTCTCAGAGGCTGGGGGAGTGTGGCAGCGCAGCGCAGGGCTCCTCCATGCTCCTTGCCATTCACGGACACACAGCTGGATTGGCCAGGCTTGTGGGGTGCTGCTATGTGAGGAGGTGAATGAAGGAGGGTGCAGCTCTGCATGTCAGTATGATCAGACTGGGGAACAGCTGGGAACAGGGAAGTTCACTGACTTTGCGGAGTCCCATCCTGAACTCAGTCCACACCGCCCACTAGAGGGGGCAGAGCACCGGATCCACCCAGACTCAGCGCTCCGGGCTGACTGCTACATGGACGGGAGGGTGCACAGACACCTAATCATTAACCCGAGGAGATGATGGGGACTGGGGATCTGTATCAGCATTCCTCATCAGTCCTTTACATAGGCAGAGTATTCCTCACCAGTCCTTAACATAGGCAGAGCAATCCTCAGCAGTCCTTTACACAGATCATTCCTCACCAGTCCTTTACATAGGCAGAGCATTGCTCACCAGTCCTTTACATAGGCAGAACACTCCTCATCAGTCCTACATAGGCAGAACATTCCTCACCAGTCCTTTACATAGGAAGAGCATTCCTCACCAGTCCATAGAGAGATCATTCCTCACCAGTCCATAGCCAGAGCACTCCTCACCAGTCTATTACATAGGAAGAGCATTCCCCACCAGTCCTTTACATAGTTCATTCGTCACCAGTCCATGGAGAGGTCGTTCCTCATCAGTCCTTTATATAGGAAGAGCACTCCTCACCAGTCCTTTAAAGATCATATGTCAGCAGTCTGTAGCCAGAGCATTCCTCATCAGTCCTTTACATAGGCAGAGCATTGCTCACCAGTCCTTTACACAGATCATTCCTCACCAGTCCATTACATAGGCAGAGCATTCCCCACCAGTCCTTTACATAGTTCATTCGTCACCAGTCCATAGCCGGAGCATTCCTCATCAGTCTTTTACATAGGCAGAGCATTCCTCATCAGTCCTTTACATAGGAAGAGCATTCCTCATCAGTCCTTTACATAGGCAGAGCATTACTTATCAGTCCTTTACATAGGAAGATCATTCCCCAATCAGTCCTTTACATAGGAAGAGCATTCCTCATCAGTCCTTTACATAGGAAGAGCATTCCTCATCAGTCCTTTACATAGGAAGAGCATTCCCCACCAGTCCTTTACATAGTTCATTCGTCACCAGTCCATAGCCGGAGCATTCCTCATCAGTCTTTTACATAGGCAGAGCATTCCTCATCAGTCCTTTACATAGGAAGAGCACTCCCTATCAGTCCCTTACATAGGCAGAGCATTCCTTATCAGTCCTTTACATAGGCAGAGCATTACTTATCAGTCCTTTACATAGGAAGATCATTCCCCAATCAGTCCTTTACATAGGAAGAGCATTCCTCAATCAGTCCTTTACATAGGAAGAGCATTCCTCATCAGTCCTTTACATAGGAAGAGAATTCCTCATCAGACCTTTACATAATAAGAGCATTCCTCATCAGTCCTTTACATAGGAAGAGCATTCCTCATCAGTCCTTTACATAGGAAGATCACTCCTCATCAGTTCTTAACATGGAGAGAGCATTCTTCATCAGTCCTTTACATAGGAAGAGCATTCCTGATCAGTCTGTAGGAAGAACATTCCTCGTTAGTCCCGTACATAAGAGTAGCGTTCCTCATCGGCTCTTTACCTGGGAAGAGCATTCCTCTCCAGTCCATAGGAAGAGCACTCCTCACCAGTCCTTTACATAGGCAGAGCAATCCTCATCAGTCCTTTACATAGGAAGAGCAATCCTCAGCAGTCCTTTACATAGGAAGAGCATTCCTCTCCAGTCCATAGCAAGCACATTCCTCATCAGTCCTTTACATAGGAAGCTCACTCCTCACCGGTTATATAGGAAGAGCATTCCTCACTAATCCGTAACATAGAGCATTCTTTACCAGTCCTTTAAATGGGACAGAACATTTATTTTCAGTTCTTAACATAGGAAGACGAGTCCTCCATTTGACTAGTCTCTCATTTGAAGGGACTGTCCCTCTTTTGGCACCAAATCCCTCTTTCCTCCTCAGTTATTCCCATTTTATTTCCTATTCTGCTGTATATATACTGCTATAAAAATGAACAATTTAACTACCAGGACTGTCACACTGCACTCAGGACACATTCACACCATGTGCGGTGACTGGCATTTTTCTGTGCACACTGCAAGGGCACATAGAAAACAATCGTTGGCAGCTTGTTTCTACAAGGGAAGCCCATTTGACGGGGTGACAACGCTGGAGCACAGATGAGAGAAAAGGACAGAGTGTTGTCACTTGATAACAGAAAGTTCCTGAACAAGGACCATCATGACAGGATCACCAAGTATTATTTAATGGCCCATTCATACTATTTTACATTGATCAAGATCAGGGCACATTGAAAGCCTTTGTGTTTTTTGAAAGGAGGGGTGGGGGTGACAGGGGGTTTGTCTTTTGTCTATATACTTTGTGCTCTCTTATCTCGGAAAGTTGGGAGGTATAGAAAGAGGGACGCCTTATACTGCAAATGATGCTCTTTTGTTGCACTCCTAATCATGCAGATCGTACAGAACTAACAAAGACTTCTTTCCCTACAATTATAAATCAGATATAACTGTCATGTGCATAAAACAGAGCAGCAAACATACTGTACAAATCAATTCACTTCTCATTCCAAACCAAGAAATACAGTCATTGCATTGAAAGTATATTGTAAGCCAAAATCTTTTTTCTTTAGTTTTGGACCGAGTGACGAGGAGTTAGAATGTCTGTCACTTTGTTTTCGCTCTCTCTTTTTGCTCTGGTGTAACAGACAGTGATGGGAAATCAAAAATGTTACAGTTGTCACCAGAACAGGAGGTCAGAAGAAATCATCCAAGGGGGACACCTTTCCAGAAACGACTGGGAGGAGATTACTCTTCACTTTGGAGAGAATTTCTCTCACCTCTGGTTGTGCCTTGGCAGGAAGTGAAGGGAAATCGCCCTAATGGGACAAACTCTATCCCCAATTGAATAGTTGTGGCTTTAGATACACCAGTGGCGTGCGGCCCACACCTGGGTGACACCATTGAAGGGGTGACACCAAAATGACTGACAGTCATTTTGGTGTCACCCCGTTTGAAAAGTCGGGCACTCGGTCGTAGACCGAGAGCCCAACAGATTCATGAGAGAGGAGGGGATCCGGCGGCATACCTTATCCCGTCGTGTGAACGTCCCCTCCTCTCTCTGCTGGCGTCCATCACCAAGATGGCCACCAGCAGGTATCAATAAGGTGACCACTCATGCGCCATGACGTCATTAATATGCTTATGCCATTTTAGAAAGTCATTGTCAATATTTTAAAATCTGCAGCTTTCATTCAAATAATATAAGGTGATGCTACCATGAGGTTCCTTGTCCCTGTTATAGAGTGACAACACTCTTTTCCCGTCTCTCAGTTGTGCTCCTGAGGTGTCACCCAGTCACAGATTCTTCACTTGTAAAAACAAGCGGCCATTTCTACACAGATTATGCAGGCATGTTCCACTGTTGTCCCCATTAGCAAAGACCCTGAGACATACCATGCCATCATGCTGGAGAATACATGCACGGCATCAAGGTCACTAGATGGAGCCGAGGATCATTGTAAATAAATACATTTTAGCAACAAGATACAGTGTTACAATTCTAGAGACTCTGGAGGGAATAAGCATATTTTAGATTGCAAGTTCTCATGGGCAAGGCCCTTCTTACCATCTCGTCTTGATTTTTAGTGTTACAGTAATGTCTTTCTTATATTGTAAAGCGCTGCGCAAACTGTTGGCGCTATATAAATCCTGTACAATAATAATAATAATATAAATGTAACTGCTGATACTACAAACATAGCAATGGTTACATGTATTTATTTATTTACAATAGCCTGTACAGCAGCCGAAGGCAGCCGAGAGCTCAGCCGAGCCGAACGCCTATGATTCACTCGGCTAAGCCAAACACACAGCCGAATCGGGAAGGACGGTCTGCCGAAGCAGACCATTCTCCCTGTAAAATATAAACAAAAAAAACACAGCGTGGGCTCCCCTCAAAAAGCCAGCGGACCTGACCCAAACTCCTGCACCTGTCAAAATGACAAATTTGACAGGTGCCGACCGAATGTCAACAGATAGGTAGGGCTGCCGCTGACATATCCGCTAGCTTCGCCTCTCTGTTGTCATTTAGGCGGGACCTGTCAAATTGCTATGGAAAGGTCCCGGCTGAATGACAACAAATGGGCGAAGCTAGCGGTGACATCAGGGGCGTACAGCTGTGGATGAACTGCCGGACGCTCGCCTCAGCCAATCCAGATGTTGTATCAGCTGAGGCAAGCGTGTTCTTCACTTCGGTTCAGCCAAACTGTTTGGCTGAACCGAAGTAAAGTGAAGGGAGCCGAAGGCAGCCGTCGTACGGCTATTTTCGGCCATACAGGGCTGAAGTGAATAACCAAAACAGAGTTCGTCTCCCTTCACTTCGTGTTGGTTATTCACTCGGTTGCCTTCGGCAGGTGACTGAATAGCCCCCTGTATCTCTTTACTAACTTGTATTTCTTTCCTATGCTCCTCAGCACCATCTATTGACCATAATGTGGTATTTTCACCATTCACTCTGTACTTTACAAATTACCCTATTGAAGAACATTCGACCAGAAGAAAAAATACACTAGGAACATTCCATTTTACCCCATTCTTATAACTGCTGATTAACGCGAACAAAACAAATGTACGTACGGCTATTTTCGGCCATACAGGGCTGAAGTGAATAACCAAAACAGAGTTCGTCTCCCTTCACTTCGTGTTGGTTATTCACTCGGTTGCCTTCGGCAGGTGACTGAATAGCCCCCTGTATCTCTTTACTAACTTGTATTTCTTTCCCATGCTCCTCAGCACCATCTAGTGGCCATAATGTG